AAGAGCTGGAGTATAGGCCAGAGGTACGGGGGAGGGGAGCATGAGAGGGTTCACCAGAGACAGAGTGGGGAGCAGAACAGGCAGATCTACTGTAATACACTGCTGAAGAGAGCAGGGGGGAGACAGGAAAGGTCTGCTGCACCATGTGGGTCAGCTCCCTAGTGGAGGATTGAACTCTTGCCAGAGACTGAGTGATAACTTGCTAGTGCTGAGACTTTAACCTCTGCATCACAAGGGAGGCCTCACTTTTTGTGTTTTCAATACAGTTTTAAATATTATTTTTATTCTTTTACTTATCCCCACTTTTTTTAAACAAAAACAACACTTCGTATTTTCCAGTGAATTCCTATTTAAACAGAGGGGATACTGATATCAGTACTAGATTCTCCAGGTTTCAGAAACTGTACATGCAAATATGATTTGTAATAATTTTACATGGCTTGCTCAACCCTGTCACTCAGAGACAAATAAAGAAACTGGTGGAAACTTATGTCTTGTTTGGAAGGCTCTCCCCACCCTGCCTGGAAATATTCTCACAACTGACTCATGATTGACATTTCAGACAGAAAGTTGCACCTTCTCATGTAACAAGGTGGTCCCCCAGAGAAAGGGGAGGTTCCAGCTTCCCTGCCCCATCTAAGGAGGGGTATAGCTGAGCAGGGGTGAGGAGAAGCTGGAGAAGAGACTGAAGAAGGAAGAAGAGGATAGAAAGTGAGGAGACCTGGAGGAAGCACATAGAGTACAGAGACTTGTGAAGAAGCTGCATTTGCTCTTTGGTCCTGGACTGTTTGAAACAATTGTGGGTGAGAGACTCTTAGGGAGCAGCTCTTAACAATGGCAGCTTTTACCTTGATTTGGATTTTGCTCCTACTGTCCCAGATGTGTTGGGCCAGTCTGCCCCTTTCCTATGGTCTCCAACATGAGGTGCAGACTTGGGGCAGGATTTCTGGTCTCAGTGGCCCCTCTTTGGACCAATCCTGTTTGGCTGGGCATTTACACTTGAAGGAATGGGTACCTTTGGGTGCTTGATTTGGAAACATCATTCTTTGTCTTTTCTTCTCTTTTTTGTTTTTTAAAGATTTATTTATTATTGGGGTACAGGTCAGAGGTGTGGTGGGTGAGAAGATTCACCAGAGACAGAGTGGGGTGCAGAACAGGCAGATCGATGAAGTACACTGCTGAGGGGAGCAGAGGGCCAGTCAGGAGGGATCTGCCATGCCATGTGGATCAGTTCCCAGGCAGGAGAATGAACTAGTGCTGCAATAGCTTCTGAGAGTTTCATAATATGGTGCTTTAACCCGTTGGGCCACCAGGGAAAGCCCCTTTGTCTTTTCTTTATCGCACACTAATTGTAGTAATGTTCCTTTTCATTAAAGGTCTTGCACACTAGAGTATGTTTTGTTTTGATGCAGCAGACGGCAGAATCTATTTAGAGTGGGCAGGCTTGGGGGTTCTGGGGTGCCCCCCTTCCTGCCCTGTCCCACTCAGTCTGCCTAAACTACCAAGCCCTTCTAATCACCACCCTTTTCTTTAGCCCTCCCCATTTGATTGCTAAGTATATTATTGCTATCTTCCAGCTCACTTCTTTGTCTGCAATCCTTATAACATTATTGAAATGTAATTACTTTTGCTCTGCTCCTACTTAAATGTGGCTCCATGATGATAGGAACTTTGTCTTATTCATTCTTGTTTCCTCAGCATTTAGAAGAGAGCACACAGAGGATGCTCAAAATGTGTTTTTGTATAGGGGCCCTCCCTGGTGACGCAGCGGATTAAAGCACTGCACTGAGAAGCTAAAGCCACTTCCGCATGAGTTCGATTCCCGCCTGCCCCGGAGGAGACCACATGGCGCGGCAGACCTCTCCTGACCTGCCTGCTGCTCCCAGCAGTGTACCTCGTCGATC